TTCATGGCAAATCAATGGAGAAACAATGGAAACAGTGGCAGACTTTATTTTCTTGGGCTCCAAAATCACTGCAGATGGTGAAATTAAAAGACGCTTGCTCCTTGGAAGGAAAGCTATGACAAACCTAGACAGCATATTAAAAAGCAGAGACATTTCTTTGTCAACAAAGATTCATTTAGTCAACACTATGTAGTAGCTCATGTAGTACTAGTTGATTTAGTCAAAGCCAGTAGTTATGTATGGATGTGAGAGTTGGCCCATGAAGAAGGCTGAACACCAAAGAATCGATACTTCTGAACTGTGGTGTTGGAGAAGACTCTTGAGAGTCCCATGGACTGCAAGGAGATCCAACCAGTGAATCCTAAAGCAAATCAGTCTTGCACATTCATTGGAAAGACTGATGCTGACACTCCAGTACTTTGGCCACCTGATGCGAAGAACTGACTCATCGGAAAAGAACCTGATGCTGGGGAGGACTGAAGACAGGATGAGAAGGGGACGACAGAAGATGAGACGGTTGGATGGCATCACTGACTTGATGGACATGAGCTTGAGCAGGCTCCAGGAGTTGGTGATGGACAGAGAAGCCCGGCGTGCTGCAGTCCATGGGGTCGCAACGGGTCAGACACTGAGTGACTGAACTGACTGACAGGGATAGGGGCAAGAATGGTTCAAGAATCAGACCATTGACTCAAAAATGAAAACCACACATTGGTTTCAGCAGCTCTGTGGTTGCCTATGGCAAGAATAAATGTTCAAGTGCTCAGAGGAAAAAGGGTGTGGCTTTTAATGGCACAGCAACACTGAGAGCTGACTTTTCAAGAACAAGGAAGTCAGAAGATAATGGACTGGCATCTGTAAAATGCTGAAAAACAAATAACCACCAACCTGGAATTCTATACCCAACAAGAACACTCTTCGAAAGTGAAAGCAAAATAAAGACTTTTAGGACAAATGGAAATGAGACAACTCATCACCCAAAGATATGAACTAAAAAAAATTAAGGCAGTGCTTTGGGAAAAAGAAAAGTAGTCTCTGACGGAAATATTAAAAACAAGCAGAGACCAATAGTGAGGTAACTGTGATGGTAGATATTAACTCTACAAAACAATTATGTTAACGCCAAAAATATATCTAAAATTTTAAAGGATAACAGTGACAAGGAGGAAACAGTCGTGTCAGGGAGGCAGTAAAAGTATTCAGTTAGACTTAAAGGCAAAACACACGCTGTATTGGAGAATGTGCTCCCAACAACCTGACAGAGGGGTACAGAACTAGAAAAACACTTCATACTTCTAAAAGATGGCAAGAGAAAAGGACACAGAATAGGTGGGACAGACAGAAAACAAACAGTAACTTGGTATCTATACACCGAAATATCAAAACTATAAATAGAGCAAATACTCTCATTAAAAGATAAAAAGTGTCAAACTGATTACAATGAAAACTATACACTATTCACAGAGGTATATGTTAAGATGGAAGATCACAGACAGGTGAAAGGAAAAGATACCCAGGCAAACAAGGACAGAAAACTGATGTGGCAGTATCACTGTCAAACAGTGTCTAAAGTAAGAAGCATTACTAGCGATAAAAAGCAGCATCTTATACTGATACAAGTTCAGTCTAGCAAGAAGATGAGGATTCTAAATCTGAATGTACCTAATAACATAACCTTAAAATATCAATACATAAAAACTGACAGAAATAGAAAAGGAGTAACAGCCAAGCTCCTAATCACAGTGGGAGACGTTAAAGACACATCTCTCATGGAACTGGGCTCCCTGGTACGTTATCACTTGCAGCCATGAAGTACCTGAAATGAGGCTTGCTCTACAATGAGATGTGCTGCAAGCATGAAACACTGGATTTAAAGACTTAGCATGAAAAAAAGATCGTGAAATATTTCATTAGGTTTTATCATGTTGATTACACACTGAAGTGATAATATTTTGGGTGTGTTAAAGTAAAATACATTACAGGTAATTTCACCTACTTCTGCTTTACTCAACGTGGCTACCGGAACCTGAATTACATGTGGGACAAACCTGATCTATCTGATACACACGGCACATTGCATTCCCACTGATACATATTATTTTCAAGAGCCCAAGGAACATATAACAAAATGAATATATATTGGGCCATTAGGAAAGCTCCCATTATTTCAAAGGACTGAAAAAATGCAGGGTATACTTAGGGATTGCAATGGGCTGACGGTTTATGTGCCCTGAAGCTTCATCCTGCATGTGGTGATGATACTAGGAGGCAGGGACTCTAGGAAGGGTCAGGTCAGGATGGAATGGGCTCCCGTGCTGCCAGAACAGGGAGAAGAAGCAGGCAGTCTAGGAACCAGGAAACAGGCCTCACCAGACGTGGCACCTGCAGGTGATCTTGGGACTTCCCAGCCTCCAGTACTCTAAGAAACAACTTTCTGTTGTTTAGCAGCTAGTCTACGGTATTTATAACAGTAGCCCAAAAAGACTAAGATGGGGCTCTTCATGGAATTGAGCTTGAAATCAAAAAAGGGTCACTAGCAAAACCTCCCCAAACATTGGGAAGTTAAATGACATACTTCTTGAAGAATTTCATGAGTAATAATTGAAAAAAAACAATGAAAATTAGAAAATACTTTTCCATAAAAATATAATGAAGATCTGGCTCATTCAAACTTATGCGTCACAGCAAACTGAGATTAGAGGATAAATTAAAGCCGTAAATACATATACTGGAAAAGAAGGAAGGCTAAAAACCAACTAAGCCTCTATCCCGAAACCAGAAAAAAAGCAAAGCAAATGACACACAAGGCAGATGGGGAAAAAATGGAGCAGAAAATAAGGAAACAGAAAGCAAACATGAAATTTTTAAAAAGCAAAGTCAAAAGTTGGGTCTTTGAAAGGACTGATAAAACTGATAATCCCCTGGAGAGACTGATTAAGAAAAAGAGACAAGGCACAAATCACCAGTATCAAGGATTTTTAAAAGGGGACACAACACATCTTGCAGATAAGAAAGATATTATGAACCACAGCTCACTTACTAATTGGAGTCTGCTGGTCTCAATCAATTCCTAGCAGGGGGAAAAGCTTTACTTTTTTTTTTAAGACCCAAGAAGACATACAAAGTCAGAAAATTTTATTTGCATGAAAAAAACTAAATCTGAAATTAAAAGCCTCCCCACAATGAAACCAACTAGTTTTGCCAATCAATTCTTCCAAAAACCTAGGGAAGAAATCAGTAATCTCACAGGGACTCTCAGCATAAACAAGGAACACTCTCCAACCTTGTTTTAGACTAGCATAACCTTGATACTAAAACCAAGAAGGAAGAAGTACAAGAAAGTAAAATCACAGACTCTAAGTATAGATGAAATAATCCTAAATAAAACACTAACAAATAAAATCCGACAGAAGGAGAATACATCAAGATCAGGTTGGGGTTGCTTGAGAGTCACAAAATGTTTTAAAAGTTAACTCACCCCATAAAAGAAAAATCACCTGTTTCAACATCTGCAGAAAATAAACTTAAGAAAATTTAATGTAATAATTTTAGTTCGTGACTAAGAAAAAACTTAGTAAACTGACAGAGAAGAATTTACATATTTTGATAAAAATATCTATAAAAAAGCTAATATCATATGTGATGGTGAAATACAGAAAGATTTTCCTCTGATAGTAGGAAAGAGACATGGATACTTATTCTCACTTCTTCTGTTCACCACTATACTCTGTACTGGAGATGCTAGTCTGTACAATAAGGCAATAAAATGAAAAGGGTTATCACAGTTGCAAAGGGGGGAAAAAGCACTTATTTGCAGAAATAATTGTGTATACATAAAAAAATACAATTAGAATGATTTGAAATAAATGGATTTAGCAAGTGAATATAGAAAAGTCAATTCTATATTAGGAATTTATAATGGCACAGAAAATATCAAAATATCTAATTAAACATGTGCAAGATTTACAGCAGACTATAGACTTCTAAGATAAACTAAAGAAGACCCAAAAACATGGAGAGCTATCTATATTGTGTTCATGGATTATAAGAACAACATAAAAGACACACACACACAGAGTTAACCATGTGAGGCGATGCGTATGTTGGGCAATCATTCCATGACGTCTACGGGCAGCAAGCCATCACAATGCAGACTGGAAATACACACACACTGTATCTGTCAATGACTCCTTAGTGAAGCTGGCGGTGTGAAATCAGGGCCTGGCACCTGGCAGGTATGGGAACTCGGGTTCACATGCAGGCTGTACACACTCCTAATCACAGGTGAGACCTGAAGCAACCCAGCAACTCTCCATTTATCTTTTCCTGTTTTTCTCTGTTCCCCTTGCCATTTGTGTTGAACAGATTCCAGTGGGCAGCGTCAATGCAGCAATAATGTTTCCCCTTCTAAGGCGGGAGCATGTAACACCAGAAGAATTCCCAATCACCCCGAGATAACTTGGGTGCCCCATCACAACATAAAGCAAAGAAACATGATGTTCCCCGAGAGAGGGCTGCCTGACAGCTGTGGGGACTATGGTCCACCAGACTTCCCAAGGGGACCCCCAGGGCCTTGGAGCCCACGCTGGGCTCCTCAGCTTGAGGCCACACTTGCCTTTCCACCATTCTGGGAGTCCTGGCAGAAGAAAGCCAGGCCACGGAAGGGGGATGGTGTGGCCGGCCCATGGGACTCAGGGCAGGGCTGACTTGGGTCTGTGCTGGGCTCCACATCTAGTTACCACCCTTGGAGTATACAAAGTTCTTGGGATCGTTGTAGGTTTTTGGCAAAAAGCAATGGAGCCAAAGTCACCTACGACGGTTTTTAAGAAAAAATTCTCACTGAGGATTCACTCAGTGCCAGCCTTGGTCCCTAGTGAAATGCAGACTCCTGGTCATCCATGGCTGTGCCCGTAGCCCTCTAGGGCAAGGGGAGGCTCCCAGACACTGGGTGCCACGTGGGGTTCTTCCTCCACTTTTAGTGAAGGGCTGCACCCCTCCACCTCTGATGCTGAGGCGCCCCTGCCTCCCACAACCGGAGGATTCAGCCTCTCCCGGGGCCTCCGTGTCACTGCACAGGCCATGTCCACATGGCCCCAACAGGCAGGGTAAGTCCTGTGCGGAGCCTCCCAGCTCGCTGCCCACATCGGGGCCATGCAGGAGCACAACGTGTCCACTGAAAGGATGGATGAGGGCCCCTAACAATGATGGTGATGATGACGAGGAGGAAATGAAGGGGGCTGAGATCCACGTGTCAGTCCCTGATTCAGGCATCTGCTCGTATGAATTCATTTAACCTCATTACAGGATTGTGTATCGGTGGGGTGGGCTATGGGGGGGCGGGTCCTGCCACTGTTCTCACCTGGGAGCCGGGAAGTTCACTCTCAGTGTGCAGGGGCAGCTGCAGCCACTGGCCACAGACTGGACAGCTTTAACACAAATTCATTCTCCCCCAGTTCTGGAGTCAGAAACCTGTGATCAAGGTGTGGGCAGGGCTCACTCCAGAGGCTCCAGGGGAGGGTCCCTCTGGCCTGGTCCAGCCCTCGGGGGACCCCAGTCTTCCCTGTGCTTGTGGCCACATCACCTCGACCTCTGTGTCCATCTGCACAAACCTTCTCCCCTGGGTGGCTCTGTGCTTCAGATCATCCCCTCTTCTCTTCCAAGGACACCTGTCACTGGATTTAGGGTCCACATGCATCCCGGGTGATCTGATACAGAGGTCAGTAACTTACTTCCATCTGCCGAGACCTTTCATCAGAATAAGGTCAGCTTTGCAGCCTCCAGAAGGATGGACGGCTTTCGGGGCCACCACTCAGCCCACCACACTTGTCATGAGGTCACAGGGCAGAGCCTCACTGGGGTTGGTGCAGGGACCTTCAAAGAAGCAGGGCTCCTGGACCTCAGTCCTGGGGCTGCCTCAAGAACACACTTAGGATCAGGACACTTGGGCACAGAGGCCAGATGGGCAGGGCTCCGAGGTGTGCTGCTCACCTGCAGGAGACTGGAGCCTGACATGATGGCCCAGAGCTGGGAGACAGCGCTTGGGTTTGGCAATGGACACATCCCAGCACGGACGAGGGGAGGCAGGCCTGGAGGCTCAGGCCAGGGGGGCCCAGATCTTCCTGTTGCCCTGAAGGGGCAGGTCAGATGGGCACAGAATGGAGCCGTGGTTTCAGGGACCTGGGTCGGAGTCCCAGTCTGCTGTTGTGTTGTCTCTGGTGAGTGACTCACCTCTCTAAGCCCACCTTTTGCTCCTCTGCAAATCTTTGCCATACGTGACTTCCTTCACACTTGGGGGGAGTTCTTGGTGCTCTCAGCACCCATGCCCAACCCCGTGGCTGAGGCTTGCCGCCTCTCCACGACCTTGAGGCCGTCAAGACCACCCCTGCACAGACTCTCTTGCAAAGAAGCTGGAAGCCATTTCCCCTACCCCAGGAGCCTAGGTGCACAGAGACCCAAGAGGCAGCAATGCCTCTAGCCTGGGGCTCCCGGGCATGGGGTTGACCACATGGAGCACTGGGAATGGCTGTGGATGGCTCCATAAGACCAACCCCGTCTTTCCTGTTACAGGGCAGGTTTGTTTCTGGGAGCTCTGCTCAGCCGCATACAAACACCCAAAATATATTCCTCCAAGTCTGTGGAGATTTCTCTCGACGGTGGTCAATAAGCCGTGCCCAGGCCGGCATTCCTGGGAAAACACGCTCCGCTGTTTACGTGAGCGACAGGTTCCCTCCCAGCAAAACATCTGGTAGGATCGGGAAAGGGTCCTGGGACTCGTTGGATACATGGGATGTCCTCAATCTTACACATATGGGATGTTTTAAACCCTGGCACCCAGTCTGACAGCAGTCTGCTCCTGGCGGGAAGAAACCAAGAGACGCCAGTGCCTTCCCCCAGCCGGATGCCCCAGAGCAGTGGCTTCTGTGCGGACTGCCCCTCGGGTGGGGAGTCTGGAGGCCACAGACCGCAGGGGACTTGAGCCTTGGCGTGGGCGTGGGGAGGGCCAAGGGGCTCGGGGAGGGGACAGGGTAAGGGCCCTTGCAATGCACTGCCACCAAAGGCTGGATGAAGACAAGAAATAAGAAAACAAATGTCACACCTTAAAGCTGCTAAAAAGCCAAGAAGGCCCAGAAGAGTGACCAGGACTGTGCTGTCCAAGGTGGGGGAGGGAAGGGGGAGACTCGCCCAGCGCAGACTGGACGGGGTTAAACCTCCGCTCCCGGCTCAACTCACAGCAACAGAGACCCCACCACAGTTGCTCCTGGCACTTTCCTTTTAGAAGGAAGAAGGGAATCACAGAACAAGCAAACCCATCCCCATGGGGGATTCCTGGTGGTTGAGGACGACAGGGCCCTCTTTGTCCTCACGGCTGCCTGAGCCTGTGTGTTGTATGTCACGGTCACCAGTCTCCGCTGAGGGGCGGGCTCCGAGTTTATTGGAAGGTTGACCTCAGCAAGGCCGAGTGTGGGGTCCCTAGCTGCCCCCAGAGGGCTCCCGGGCAGCAGGCCTCCCCAGCCCACTCTGACCCCACAGCTGCCGCCCACCCCAGAGGGCCCCGTCCCTGCCATCAGGGAATTAGGGGGTGCTAAGTGCTCAGGCCCGAGCGTGGTGGGGGCGCCTCCATGGCATCCTGTGTGTGAACCCTTCCCAGGCTCACGTCCAGCAGGAACTGCTGGGAGCATGTGTACACAGCAGGGACACACAGGACGGCTCCCAAGCACCGCCTGGCCAGGAAGCCCCGGAGCCCTGGTGGGAGGCCTGGGCCGCACTTCTGGCCACATCCCCCTCTCTGTGCCCTGGCTTCCTCAGCTCCAAGGATAACCCCACCACAGGAGGGCCTCTGAGGCCAGGGTTGCTCTGTGGGAGGGGTCGTGTTCTCGAATATGCTCAAGGCATGTGATGCCTGGTCAGTCCCTAATGACCGGGCACATTCTTGGCAGCCCTGGGGCTTGCTTGCTCTTCCTGTTGGCACCAGGGTCCCATGTGGGTGTGAGCTGGGAGGCTGGCTCCAGGCTGGGTCTGTCTGCTTAGGTGACCAATGTGCCCCCTTTCCAAAGCGGGGGGCTGCTCGCCAGGGGAACTAACCACATGGTTAGAGGATTGGAACTTCTGGTCCCTCCCCACCCCCACAATGTCTGGGAAAGCACAAAGGGCTTCTGGTTGAAGCAGTCACCAATAGCCAGTGATTTAATCAATTGTGCTTGTGTGATGAATCCTCCATAAAAACCCTCAAACAGGGTCTGCACAGCTTCTGGCTTGGTGAACACATGCAGATTTTTGGGAAGTGGGGCTCAGAGAGCGTGAAGTTCCATGCCTCCCCCTCACACACCCTGTCCTGTGCATCCCCTTCCATCTGCTGTTCCTGAGTTTATTACCTTTTACAATAAAGCTGTGATCTAGTAGACAATGTTTCTCTGAGTTCCGCGAGCCACTCTACAAATTAACAGAACCCAAAGTTGTTAGAACCTCTAAACTGTAGCCAGTGGGTCAGAGCGCAGGTGACAATCTGGACTTGCAAATGATGGCTGGAGTTGGGGGAGGGTCTTGTAGGGCTGGGCCTTTAACTTGTGGGGTCTGTCACTATCCCCAGATAGGCAGTGTCCACACCGAGTTAAGCTGCAGGAACCCCAGCTGCTGTCACAGAAGTGCTGGGTGGTACCAATGAAACAACGTGTGCATGCTGCAACTGGGAGAGGAATCCTCATCACTTATTGGTACAACTCCATCTTTTCTGGTGGCCATAACCAATGTCTTTATGTTTGATGTTCATTTCAAAGTCAAGAAATTTTAAAAAAGTTATGTGTGGTGATTGATTTAATTGGACTTGGAAAGGCTCTTCATTCTCCTTTGTGAGCATGGCCATTCCATTATCATATGAGCAATAATAATAGATGACTGAATATTCACATCACCAGTCAGAATTTCCCGAGTGCCAGACTCCAAGGTAAGCATTTTTGGATAACCCAGTGATCTAACAGCTTGTTTCCCAGGTGGCTCAGCAGAAAAGAACTCGCCAGCCAATGTAGGAGATGCAGGAGACCTGGGTTCAATCTGTGGGTCGGGAAGATCCCCTGGAGGAGGAACTGGCAACCCATTTCAGTATTCTTGCCTGAAAAATTCCATGGATAGAGGATCTTGGGGGCTACAGTTCATAGGGCTGCAAAGAGTTGGACACGAATGAGCCACTGAATATGCACACTGTCGTGTAAATACTGTTGTTATCTGTTTGACAAATGGTGAAGCTTCATTTTTGTTGTTCAGTCATCAGATTTTGTCTGATTCTTTGTGACCCCATGGACTATACACTCCATGGAAATCTCTAGGCCAGAACACTGGAGTGGGTAGTGTTTCCCTTCTCCAGGGGATTTTTCTGACTCCCCACACATTGTAAGACTAAACTTGAGAATTCTTATTTTGCATTTCATTTTAAATAGCCTTTGGGTGTCTGAATGGACAGTGTAGATACTTTCAAGGTGTCTTCTGCAAAACAAAGCCCTTTCAGCAAATGTGGTCATAATATCCAGGTATACGTTGCTTTTTGTTGTTGTTGTTTGTTGGTTTGTTTTCAGGTGTTGCTGTTGTAAGTGTCACATCTCAGAAGGCAAATTCTGAGCTCTTCCTCTGGCAGAAACAAATCACAAAATAAGCCAAGAAAGAGAGCTGGGAAAACAAACCACACCAACAACCGGAATAGCATTCCTCACGAGACAGAGCTAGAGAAACACCGAACATCCTTATAGTCCAAAAACTCTCTTGGAAATGAATGTTCAGTAAGGAAGAGAAGAAACATCTCAAGTTCCAAGGAGAGGCAATGCCCATGGCCACTGTAGTTTAGAGACGGCCTGACCACTCAGATGAAGACACACCAATGTAACCCCTTTGCAGACAGCAGTGATGGTCATCACCATAGTAAGCGTTTAGTCTGGTGACAAGCTGCCCCAGGCACCACATAAGGAAGCAGACCTGCTTCTCTTCCTCTGCCCCCACACCATTCACTCATGGAGGCAGCTCAGGTGCTATCCTGCCCTGCCTGCCTGTATGGCTCATCATTGACCACCTCCAGGGAAGGACTTCCACCTTCTCT